AGGAAGGAAGGAAGGAAGGAAGGAAGGAAGGAAGGAAGGAAGGAAGGAAGGAAGAGTTCTTCAAAGGAAGGTTTACTATCTTTGTACCTTTCACTTCATACCACTGACTATTTTATTTTCCTATTTATTGACATGTATTAAGCCTCAGCTGACAGCAGAGTAGAGCAGGAGATGAGCAAATATAAGTTAAAAAGAGATAAGATCTATATTTAGTTTTAAATTGTTTGTAAATTAAACATTAAATTGTTTAGTGTTTCAGAACATTAAATTGTTCTGAAAATTAGTGTTCCTGCTAAGGTAACTACTCTTGGGAAACTGATGAAATGACACTTACTTTACTATTTGGGAAATGCTCGTCATCACCATCTTCATCCAAACAGACCAAATCACCCTCTACCACTCTTGATCCATAGATTGCTAGTCTGTAAGATGCTGCCTCATTCCAAATTTTGCTGCTATATGCATGAATGTAGAAAATGCGCATAGAATGGGGAAAGGAGAACCATGCCTGGATACAACCCTCCTCAGTCATGCCAAAGCGATGCAAGGACTCCAACAATGCTCTCTCTCGAACTTTGAATTCCGGCATCAATGAAAGTGTGCCTTTAGCATCCTCTGCAATAAAGAGAAAATCAGTTAGCCAACCACTTTTATTTAAAGGCCAGTTATGAAGACCTTTATTATGCTCTCAAACTGAGTCAATGAACTGCTATCTTTTACACCTGAATATGAAGATGTTCAGCACCAACTATAAACCGAACTACACTTGAGTTTTTTTAAATAAAGATCATCAATCATATGATCCGCTCACATTTCCTACTTCAAAGAAAAATAACAAAAGCATATTAGTAATTCCTATTTCAGAATGAAAATAAACTAATTTGCAGTTATTAAGAGGACTTCAAAAAAGAGCATTAAATAAACCTCTGAGCCTAGAGATTTTAAAAAGAGCTATTATCAACATTTACAGATAATTTTTTGAATAATAAAGGGTTGATATCTGGATCCCTCAAGCATACTATTAGGTCTCGCTGATAGGATGCTTTTTAAAATTAGAGACTCTACTGTAAAGATGCTGATTCAGGTAGGGCCTTAGAATCAGCATTTTAGTAACTGTATCAGTTTTTTTATAAACATTAAAGTTTAAAAATCATTGCCATAAGAAAATTATCTTTGCAGGACTATACAATAAAGGCAAACAAGTCACTTTAAATTTTCTTTAGGATTACTTAAATTACTCATAACAATCTGAAATGTCCATATTATTTATAGATTGCTGTGTGGCATAAAAATAATTATCTCCTATGAATTACATACATATAATATGTACATAATTAAAAACAATGAAGATTTTAGAAAACTGATGTCCTTAATTTCAACATAAGTGAAATTCAGTGTGCACATATATGTAGATCACATATTTGACTGAATCTAAAATGGTATTGCTGCTGTTATTATTTAAATACAAGTAATATTTATTCAGTATTTAGTATGTGCAAGGCACTATTTTAAGAGCATTACATCTGTTATTATATTTAAATCTCATAACAGTTTTTTAGTACCATCATTAGCTTCAATTTACAGATAAAGAAACTAAATCATCTGCACAAACCCATTGGGAAGTACTCAAACTGAGAGTTACACCCATGTACACTGACTCTAGAACCTACACTCATAACCTGTTTTCTTTAATGTTTCCTATTAAGCAGTCTGCATATATATCATCCTATTGAGCTAGAGTTTTCAAAATCAGCAATTTAGGGCTGAATGGCAACTAGACCAAAAACAATGCACAAAGTATCAGATATGACAAATGTTCTTTTATTTCGTTTATTTTTCCGTCTCCTCTAGCTGTAGTGAATCATACTTCCATTAGTACCAGTGTAGAATTGGGAACTTCCATTTCCTCAGAGAATTTAGGTCAAGGAAAACTAAGATGCCATCTCTCCCCTCCACGATCCCCACAAACAAGATTTAGAACAGACAAAAGTCCTTAAGATTGGGCCAAAAATGGAGTACCTACGGCATGTTATAAAATGATTAAATACACAATATATTATAATCTATTTCTTATCATGTTTATGTTGCAATGAATGCCCTCCTGCTGACTTAACATTTATGTTATGTATCCTGCATGGCTATGTACACGGTAAAGAAACTTTTAAATACCAGTTTGAAGAAAATATTTCTTTGCTCTGTTGACAGGATCATCCAAATCTTCTGGTGTAAAAAATAATTTTACAGCTTTCACCTTTAAAAATCAAGCAAGCAAACATACGTTAAATAAAAATAACAAATGACTTTACTTTTTTAAAAAAATATGCACCTTCAAAGAACAGGCATTTAACAGCCCTGGCCAGTTTGCTCCGTGGTTAGCGCGTCAGCCCACAGACCAAAGAGTTACCATTCGATTCCTAGTTAAGGGCGTGTACCTCAATTGAGGGTTTGATCCCTGGTCCAGGTCCAGGGTCCTGCTTGAGACAACCAATGGATGTGTCTCTGTCTCTGTCTCTGTCTCTGTTTCTCTCTCTCCCTCTCTCTCTCTCTTCCCCTTCTCCCTTCTACTTTCTCTGAAAATCAATGGTAAAAAAATCCTCAGATAAGAATTAAAAAAAACCTATATAGGCATTTAACAAATGCTATTTGATGCTGCAAATTTATCTTTATGTTTCCAAAAATTAAGTAATCAATGTTAAATTTTAGAAATAAACTTCTGTACAAAAGTTTAAAATATTATGGACTAGAAAAAGTGCTCTCCCATACCTTCCACAGTTCTTCTGTCATTCTTTTTTTTCTTCTTTTTTTTAAATATCTTTATTGATTTCAGAGAGAGAAAAGGAGAGGGAGAGAGAGAGACAGAAACATCAATGATGAGAGAGTAATTGATCAAGCCCAAAACCGGGCATGTGCCCTGACCGGGAATCGAACCCCAATAGCCTGGATCCTAGGTTGATGCTCAACTGCTGAGCCACGCCCAGCCGGGCTCTTCTGTCATTCTTTACCTCCATCATTGAGGTAAGAATACAAGAGTAAAGTAATGATACAAACTCAGACTTGCCCTAGCTGGTGTGGCTCAGTGGTTAGAGCATCGGCCCTTGGACTGAAGGGTCGTGGGTTCAATTCTGGTTGAGGGTGCATACCTTGGTTGCAGGCTCGATTCCCAGCCTCGACCAGGGAGCGAGTGGGAGGCAACCAATCGATGTGTCTCTCTCACATCCATGTTTCTTTCTCTCTCTCCCTTCCACTCTCTCTGAAAAGCAATGAAAAAAACCCTCAGGTGAGGATTTAATAAATAAATAAATAAATAAATAAACAAATAAATAAAAATAGTTTTAAAAAACCTCAGACTTGACTAACACACATAACAAAAATACGGAAGGAACCAACCATAAAGGGTTGGCAAGCCACTAATTTCATTAACGTTTTCAAGTCTCAGAATTCTTTGGTCTTAAAAATAATTGCCAAAATCTTTTTAAAAATTGCTAACTTTAATATTTTTTTTTAAAACCTAAATAGATGAAAAGGTGTTCTTAAGAAAGACAGACATCTGCTAGTTCCTGTATTTTATCACTGTCTCTAGAACTGCGATTTATTTCTAAATATGTATCTTTGAGTAGTAATACTGACTACAAATTTGCAGATGTGGTCTACATCATCAGCTCTCAACCTTATTCCCACATGTAAGATAATATTCACATGCACAATGCTTCTCACAAATGCTTTTACTGCCTTTCTCTTCCATTCAGGAAAACATATTTTAACACAAATGAGTGAATATGACACTATCGTATGAATAATCTTGCATCTGCCCAATTATATAATTTTTATAGATTTGTAGGTTTTTGTTATTATGTATACTTTGTTAAGTGCAAAAATATGTGTATTTATATAATATATAATTAAAAATATAAGATATACATTTTAAGTGTATATATAATTTTCATAATTAGGCAAATGTGGCTTCTTCTGTGTGACATTCATTTATAGTTTCATTTGAAACTAGTCAGAAAATTTTTTATATCTGTTGTTCCCTTTTTAGTCTCTAGCTTTGGGTGAATTCCTATCTTTTTTATAATCTGATACCAGATTTCTATAATTGTAGGTATAAGTTTCCTCTAAATCCGCTCTTCAGTTATTAAGAATTTGGTGAGTGTTGGTCAATTCTCTGTTAAGTCTCAAACAATACTGGACATCACATACAGTTTGTTTTCTTATAATGCGATGTCAAGAATATAGGAGCTGCTCAATGTATGTTCAGTGATATAGATACATGTATGTGTGTGCATACCTGTGTATATATGCTGGGTTAAGAAAGAAAGGAGCTATCTTATGAGTAAGAACAACTGAGAAAGTAGAAAAGATCATATTTTTTAAAAATACATACCATTTCACCCTTCAGCAAAGCCAATCCAATTTGATCTGTGTGAACTTTCTTTCCCATCCCAAATCTCTGTGGTCCATAGTAATTCACAAATCCTTTATGCTATGAGTAGAAAAATATCAATTAATTAAAAATATATTGTTATATGCCTGTGTCCCCCCAAAATTCATATGTTGAAATCCTACCTTCCAGTGTGATAGTATGTGGAGGTGGGGACTTGGGGAGATAACTAGGTCATGAGGATATAGCCCTCATGAACAGGATTAGTGCCATTACAATATAAGACCACGGAGCTAGCTAACTCTTCTTTCTGCCATGTGCAAATACAATGAGAAAATCATGTTGGCACTGTAACCTCAGGCCTCCAGCCTCCAGAACTAGGAGAAATAATTTTCTATTGCTTAAAAGTCACCCAGTCCATGGTTCTTTCTTATAGCCCTGATCTAAGACAAATAAATATAATTATTGCATCAGAATATGTAATCAAGTCTTTCTCTTCATATTTATTTTAATAAAAGAATCCTGCAACCAGCAATATACATGTGGGGACCAAAGGGTCTGAGAATAGAAAGAAGAATGAATGATTAAAAGTTAGAAAATAAGATGAGCTTTAAAAATGTCAGCTTTTCATTCACATTACTGAGGGGTTTTCTGGGATGTGAGACTTTTGGTGCTAAAACGAGGAAAGTTCTGGGAAAACTGGGATGAACTGGTTTCCTATATTGGATCTGATCTTTGCCCTGAAGCTCTTCCTGATTTTGAGACTCCTCTGCTGTCTGGACATGCTTGGAATAAGAAACAGATTTATTTTCAAACTCAGTTCATCTTTCAGTCATCTCAGTCTCTGAAAGCCTGGGCCAAGACAATGGCATAGTGTCACTTCACCAAGAATAGAAAATTGTAATTTACTACTGCAACCATTTGAAGACATTGGTCAGTGGTTAAATATATTCTCACAAAGAAAACATCAGGCCTGGACGGTTTCTTGAAAGATAAAAGAGTCTTCCATACTCACTTTATGAGGAGAGTATATATTTATTCATTCAACAATTATTATTGAGCACCAACTCCAGGACTATTCAATAAAAGATGCTAAGATAATATGTTATTGGCATGGTGCAAAAGGCACTCTTACCTCATACTATTCACAAAATTCAATTGCAGATAAAGTAAGTACTCCCTTGTACTAAGTCTCATAGTTAATATTTTAATTATTTCAAATTTTAAAAAAAATAAAAATAATCAGATAATATCCTAGAATAGCCAGAAGAATTTTAATTACCCCTTCTAATTACTTAGGGTTGGAAATAACAAGGTTTATAGCAATCAGAGACATAATCTCCTAAAACAAAACTTTAAAGACTTACTTTTGGGGCTTCTCAACTCCCTTCCCTTATCATAAGAACTAAAGGAAAGTTGGCTAATGCTAAGATTATTCTGAATGGAGATTTTATAATGAGCAGTTGTATATCCATAAATACCAAATGAGACAGGCAATAAATGCTATCAGAGTTCAGAGTAACCCCTCTTTTGGTGTTCTGAGCACCCAATTTCAGTGTGGAGAGGGAGTCCCCACACCAGCAGGCAATTCTCTAATATAAGCTGAGTGTCCTACCATTCAATTCAATTCTGACACTATCTACCCAGAGATGGCATCAGATTCTACAGGTTAAGAGGGCAGTCCTACAAGATTGCCTCACCTCCACCACCTTCAGAGGCCAGGTCAGTCACAAACCCAGGCTGCACTTGTGCTTCTGATGACCTACTAGAGATTGAAGGTTACAACGAACACTCCTTGGACTTCAGACACCAGCTGATAGTCCAGGTTGTTATCTGTACTTCTGACCAAATTGCTTTAAATTAGAGATTCCCAAGACCCCTATCTTGGGTTCAACTAATTTGCAGAGAGGCTTGAAGAACTCAGAGAAACATTTTACTTATCAGATCACCAATTTATTATAAATTCAGAGTTATGTAACAAAGGAACGGCCAGATGGAGCAGATGCATAGATAAAGTATGTGGGAAGGGGTGCAGATTTCTTACGCCCTCTCCAAGTACACCAATCTCCCTGCATCTCCAGCCAGGAGTTCACCAACCCAGAAGTTCTCTGAAGGAACCCTGTCCCTTTGGGTTTTTATGGAGGTTTTATTACAGAGGCATGACTGATTAAATCATTGGCTGCTGGCAGTTGATTCCACCTTCAGCCCCTATCCCTTACCCCTCCCAGTTCAGGGGGTAGTACTAAAAGTTAGTACCCTATAATCACAAGGTTGGCTCCATTGGAACCAGCTCCTATCCTTAGGGGCTTTACAAAAGTCACCTCATTAACATAACAAAGGACAACTCCATCATTCTCAACACTTCGGAAATTCCAAGGGTTTTGAGAGCTGTGAGCCCAGCACTGTGGATGAATACCTAATATGTATATGAAAAGTATATTTTGGTCAAATGAACGACCAAATATATATTTCTTATAAATCACAATATAGCACCTCCTCCCTTTTGTAAGAAATATCATTTTAATAACAGCTTTTCAGAGGGGTAAGAATTTTAGGTAAGTCTAGAAAAAAAGGAAAAAACTGCTAGGCAGGATAGATAGCTGCTGGGCCAGGAGAAGGGAAAAGGGGGGAAAAAGGGAGGCGTTTAATCTCACCCACTGAACAAAGAAGTCAGCAGTCTTGGGACTTGCCAAGATAAAATCGCCAGAAGTTCTCATAAATTCTGGGAAAAGCCACACAATGTAAAAGGAAGACCTTGAAATCTAGTCTGTTGTTGAAGATATCTGGCAAGGGAACATTTAAACCTATAGGGGAAAAGTATAAAATGCCTGAACCCCCACCATGCAGGGCACTCAGACTAGCTGAGTTTGCCCACTTGTGCTTTATGCCAAGTGTATTCTTAATAAATTCACTTGCTTGGTTTCAACACTGTTTTCTGTCACTCATCTGAATTCTTTCTTGCAAGCATGACAAGAGCCAAGAAGGGGAGAGCCCCTTCCCACCTGGGTGGCTGTCCGGTAACAAAACTATACATAGAGTATACAATAAGAGAACTCCTATACAGAGGTGAATGTGCTAGATTTAAAATCTTTAGTTGGAAGGTACTTTTCTGACTATAAGGCATAACATCAATTAAAAACCAGTTTTTGTTTTCCTGGAGGGGAGGCATAAAATTGTGTAAAAAGCTCTTTGTGGTCAGAAACTTAGGTCAATGTTTCTCAATGTTAGTTACAGAGTAGAAGCACTTAGGGAGTTGTTTTTTTAAAAAAATACTAATGTCTAAACTGCATCCCCAAGTGTTATTATTTAATTGGTTTGGGAGTAGAGATTGACTGCTGAGAATATTTAAAGCCCCTCAGGTTGAGAATTACTGGTCTAGACCAGGAGTTGGCAAACTACTAATTGCCAACAAGTCAAATTTGGCATAACACCTGTTTCTGTAAATAAAGTTTTATTGGAACGTAGCCATGTTCATTCATTTATGTATTGTCTATGGCTGCTTCCACACAATAGCAATAGAGTAGATGCAATAGAGACCATATGCCTACAAAGCCAACAATATGTATTACTGGCCCTTTATAGAAAAAAAATTGCACACCCACAGTCTAGGTGATCAGAATTAAAGGCTATGGTTGTATATGTATATTTAAATGCCTGGCAAATGTCATTTAAAAATATATGTTATGTAATTTTTTATTGTAAGACATAATACAATGTATATGACTTTTCATTTGTATACATAGAAGTAAAATTCAAAATTAGATTGAAAAGAAAAAAGATTGTGTATAATTCTAAAAAGTAATTTTCCAAATTACCAAAGATTTCTGGAAAGAATTACTGAGCAAAGTTTCCCAATAAAATTAATCCCTTTCCCTAAAATATTACTCTATATGGCAGATGCTAAAAAACATTCTTATTATAGAGATAGCTTTATTTTCCCCCATCTCTGGGAAACTCCATACATTTTCTTTTTTAATTAAAGTGGGTTTCTTCCCAATACAAAAAATGTACTAAGAAGAAAAATTTTAAAATAAGGCAAATTGCTCTAGTTAGTATTTTAAAAAATAATTATACAGGCCCTGGCCAAGTACCTTGGTTGTTTAGTGCATCATCCTGCTATGCCAAGGCTGTGGGTTTGATCTCGTCAGGGCACATGCAAGAAGCAACCAGTGAATGCATAAATAAGTAGAACAACAAATCAGTGTTTTCCCCTCTCTCTCCCCCATTCCTCTCTCTCTCTCTCTAAAATCAATTAAAAAATTATACATGCAAATAAAAAGAAAAGGTAAAAAAGAAAAAGTTTCCCTTCTTACTTCAATGTAAATAGAGGGACTATAAAGATTTCTCTATAATACTCTTAAAATTGAGGTTTCTTACCTTAACATTTTCTATGGCCTCCAAAATTCTGTCTCTCAGGTTTACAGAATCATTTATTTGGTTTTTTAAATTTCTGATGACAATATCAAAGTGATTTCCTTTGAGCTGACCGAGTCTAAGGGAATCATCTACAGACCGAATGTTAAACACATTCATTCTTTTTTTTTCAATTTCTTTTTCAATATCTTTCAACCTATAAATGATAAATCATACAGACTCAGTTAAATCTTACATTTCAAAAATTATTATAAGTTTTAAATTACAGTTGCCAGGTAATCACTTATATCACAACACTAAAACAAAATTTTTTTGAATCTTCCAAAGTTAATGTTATTTCAACAAATGTGCACTAAAAACCCATTATTGCAGGATTATATTAACCAGTTATTTTAAGAACTGGGACATATATTACTAATGCTATCACTCAATCTATGTAGGCTTTTTTGCTTCTTAGTTCAAGTGATGCAATTTCTTAACTGTTCTTTTGTTCCTCTTAACCTTAAATTTTGTTCCTTTCTCCTCTGTATCTCTTCTCCCAACATTACCAATAAAAACTACTAGCACCAGAGAATTTTCCCAAAATTATGCTCTGAACAATTTCTTACTCAAACTTTCAATTCTTCCCCAGCACCTAATAGATTCCAACTGTTTTAGCATAACTTTTAAGATTCTGTAAGAACTGATGTAAATTGTTCTTTACATTCATATTTTCTGTAGTCTTTATAGTAACTGTCTGTTTTATTAGACAGACTGTTTAGCTTAGCTTACTGCTCCTCCAAATATAGCTTCAGATTTTCTGCACTAGCTAAAATCTTATTATTACTTGACAGATAATTAAAATCCCACATCCATAAGGCAAATCAAAGAACTCTCTCCTAGGAACCAATAATATTTGCCTTTGGTAGTTAAAAACTAGCTTTTAACATCTACATACCTTTTAACATCTAAAGTCCTTCTCTCTTACTTATACTGTACTTTTGACCATAAAGACAAAATCATATACTTTTTTTGATCCCTCATATTAGAGCTTAGAAACATTTACCTGCAAATAGTGCATAGTTAAACATCTATGACTAAAGATTAATATTGTCAATATTACATCACATTAGACTCAATTTTGGCTCAAAGATTCAATTTTTTGAAAAGTATCTACAAGGCACAGATTTAAGCACAATATTAATCACAGTATTATTTACAGTGAAATATTGAAGCAAATTTCAATATCCAAAACTAGGGAAACATTAAACAAATTAGCCTAAATAATGGAAATAGTTTTGAAATATTTCATGATATAAATTTTCTTTAAAAACTCATAATCATTTAGTTTTTATAAGTAAAATATAAATTGCATATACAATATGATTTTCATATATATAAAAAAGTTTGTACAATGTGTATATGTAGTTTAGTCTCTGAAAAAAGTATAGAAGGAAATAGGTCAAAATGTTATTGTGGTTCTTTCTGAGTAGTGGAATTATTAGTGACTTTTCATTTCTTTTTTACATAGTATATCTTTCTATTTTCTAAATCTACAATGAACATGTATTTCTTTAACAATTACAAAAAAATACTTTTAATGACCAATTATGCTGAAGGGAGGCAAAATTTTAGTGCTTTACTTTCTATTTAACAAAGATTTACTTTAAATATAAGGAAGCACAACAATAAAAGTATAAAAGTATTATAGTAATTAGAAATAAATATTTGTAAGACACTGTCCTGAATATAAACGCAAATTTGAATATAGAACAGGATTTCTAGAAACAATTTTGATTACTTAAAAACCAGCCACTTCTCAAAGTTTTTATGCTAAAACTACCTATGTTTGCCATGTAAATTTAAGACATAACTATATAAAAGATAATTATATTATCAATGCAGAATGTGCTGTTTGGTAAGCCTGTACTCAATAAATTAATTAATGAGATTAACATGCTTCTAGTATTATTCTGAGTTTAACCTTACATTTACTTACTTGATGAAATAAGTTCTCTCTTATCAAGTAATGTTTTATTACCTCTCTGGAGTCACCTTTCTAACAACCATTGCTTGATAGGTGATGGCTTTCTTGTCTTTAAGGCCTGCATAACTAAAATCTGAGGGAATCACACCAAGTTTGACAGCTAGAAAACCAACTGCTTCAAACATTTCTAGATTTTCTTTTCGTAGGGTAAAGGCTGGAAAAAAAAAAAAATCCTTGGTTACAAAGAAAGCAGTATCACACATCAAGTATATTCTTAGCAGACTAACAAATTAATATAATGAATCAAATTATTAATTTAAATAAGGAGTATTTTTTAATAAAAATACAAAATCAGTGTTATAGATTACAGCCATCACTTTAAAAATACTAACTGGCTCATTAAAGGTTTAGAGAAAAAATTCAAATTCCTTAGTTTGGCATTCATATAATGCCCAATCTCCCTTTTCAGTCCCAACATGTGCCACTTCCATTCATATATCCTATAATATTGACACAGAATTCCTCATAATCCTTGGTGGACAAGTGCCTTGTACAGCTTTGTACTTTTTTTTTTTAATTTATCTTTATTGTTGAAAGTACTACAGGTGTCCCATTTTTCCTCCAGTGTGCTCCCACCCCCTCCCCAGGCCTTCACCCCGTTATTGACTGTATCCATGGGTTATGCATATATGCATATAACTTCTTTGGTTAATCTCTTCCCACTCCAGACCCCCCTTCTCTCTTCCCTCTGAAATATGATCGTCTGTTGCATTCATCAATGTCTCTGGGTCTATTTAGTTCATCAGATTCTTTTGTTCACTAGCTGCTTCTTAAAGAAGACCCTTCAACATTTCCCATAGTGCTGGTCTGGTGGTGATGAACTCCTTTAGCTTTTTCTTATTTGTGAAGCTCTTTATCTGACCTTCAGTTCTAAATGATAGCTTTGCTGGTAGAGCAATCTTGGTGTAGTTCCATGTTTTCCATCACTTTGAATATTTCTTGCCACTCCCTTCTGGCCTGCAAGGTTTCTGTTGAGAAATCAGCTGACAGTTGTATGGGGGCTCCCTTATAGGTAACTAACTGCTTTTCTCTTGCTGCTTTTAAGATTCTCTCTTTGTCTTTAACCTTTGGCATGTTAATTATGATTTGTCTTGGTGTGGGCCTCTTTGGGTTCTTCTTGTTTGGGACCCTCTGTGCTTCCTGGACTTTTAAGTCTATTTCTTTCCCCCAGTAGGGGAAGTTTTCTGTAATTTTTTTAAAAATAGGTTTTCAATTTCCTGCTCTCTTTCTTCCCCTTTTGGCACCTCAATAATACAAATGTTGGGCCTCTTGAAGTTGGGCCTCTTGAAGTTGTCCCAGAGGCTCCTTATACTATCTTCATATTTCTGGATTCTTTTTTCTTTTTGCTCTTCTGGTTGGGTGGTTTTTGTTTCCTCATGTTCCAAATTGCTGATTTGATTCTCAGCATCCTCTACTCTACTGTTGATTCCCTGTAAATTATCCTTCATTTCAGTTCGTGTAGCCTTCATTTCAAATTGGTACTTTATTATATCGATTTTCTCAGTTATTTTTTGTAATAGTATGCTTAAACATCCTTATAAACAAAATTCTGAACTCTGTATCTGTTAGCTTGCTTGGATCTATTTCATTTCATTCCTCTTCTAGAGATTTCCTCTGTTCTTTCCTTGGTGACATGTTCCTTTGCCTCCTCATTTTGGCTGCTTCCAGGTGTTTGTTTCTATGTATTAGGTAGAGCTGCTGTCTCTTGGAACTTATACAGTGGCTTTGTGTAGTAGGTGTCCTGTAGGGTCCAGTGGCTCAGCCTCCCCAGTCAACTGAGCTGGGCCTTTTAGGTGCTCCCCTGTGTGGGCTGTGTGCACTGTCCTGTTGTAGTTGAGCCTTGGTTGCTGTTGGCATCACTGGGAGGAATTGACCCTCCCAGGCCTATCAGCTGTGAGGACCAGCTGCAACTACAGCCAAAGAGCTGCTGTGCTAGAGACATCCCTATGGAGCAGGATTTACTGCACTGGAGCTTTGGTGTTCACCAAGTGAGCCCCTTGAGTGTCACTCATGGCTGTGGTAGGGTTGTAATCCAGTGTGGTCGAGTCTGACCACTGGGTGCACTATCTCTGGGGCCTCCCGGGAGGTGCAAAGTCAGCCTCTGCTAGTGCCTTGCCCAGGGCCACCCAGCATGAGCTATACAGCAAACTGTAGTTGGCTGCTACTTGTGCTGGGCTTAGAGGTGTCCAGGAGTGGCCAAGCTATGAGCCAATGCAGCTGCTGCTAGTGCCAGGCCTGGGGCCACTTATCAAAACATATGGGGCCCACTACTGCTTGTTTGAGAGATTTTTAGGAAAATCCTAAGCATGAGGCTCAAGAGGCCACTTGCACAGAAAAGCCCCTGGAAATGGCTTGGGTGAGCCTACAGGTGGGGAGGGGTGAGGCCTCCGAGAATCACGGGGAGGGGCCAAAGATGTGAGTCAGGTGCTGACGATTCAAATATGGCACCTGCCTGCAGCTGTGTGTGGGGAGGACTGGCCAAAGGAGCAATGGCCTCTCCAAGCTCTTCTGCCTGGGAGAAAGCTGCCCCTCCACCTCTTGCCCCAACTTCAGGCAGGTTAGTTCCTCCCCAAGTGTCCCAGGTTCCTTTCAGGCTGCTGCCCAGTGCTGGGGCTCGGAGTGACCGCGTCTGAGTCCGTGCGCGGGCCCTTTAAGAGAAAAGCCTGGGGCTCCTGCACCCTCTGTGACCCTCAGCAACAGTCCCCACTGGTTTTCACAGCCCGGAGTTGTGAGGTCTCCTCTTCCTGGCCCTGGAGCCCTGGGCTGGGGGCCTGCTGTGGGGCTTGGACCCCTCACTCCTCCAGGAAACCTCCACCACAGAGATGTCCTCTTGGGTTTACCCACGGCACTGGGTGTGGGCCCATGGCCGCTTCTCCGAGATTCAGCCCCGGTCGGTCCGCATCTCCACCCCTCCTACTGGTCTCGGTGCTTCTTCAGTTCCCTGGTTATAGGACTTCTGTGCAGCCAGATCTCAGGAGGCTCTGAGTGATGGTAGTTCTGTATTTTAGTTGTAATTTTGATGTGGCTGCGGGAGGTGGCAGGAGCAGCTGTTACCTACGCCGCCACCTTGTTTCCTCTCTCCTATAGCTTTGTACTCTTGCACATCAGTCTCCCTGTCGAAAATATGTGTTCCTTCCACTTTATTTGCCATACTTCTATTCACTCTTCACAATTCAACAGCTCTGGCTCTAGGGACGACCTCTGGGTCTTAGTTCTGCCCTCTGAGTGAATCTTCCTTTTCCATTATAGAGCCTGTTTACAGAAGAGTAGTTTTCCCAGCCTAATTCCTGCCTTTAAACATCTGGGCGTCCAAAGGCTTCTCTTTATTTTGTACTGCCTTTGACCCTTTCAAAACTGTGGGTCTTCTTTAGGTTCACTCTATTAGATCAAAATACATTTTGTCAATATAAGATATTTTCTACTTAGGGCTTCTGCTGAAGCTACAAAGGGAAAACACCCCTAAATTCCTAAAAGAATTACTGTTTAACACAGGGAGTTCATGAGACATGTCCTTAAAGTCCCTAGAGGGCTTTTTGTCGGTCTGAACCATTCTCTGAGACACTGCTATACATCTTTCCAAAGTTTTAACAAAGGATTTTATAATCACACCCTAGATTTCCTTGTTAGACCTGCCATGGCTTTTTCTTTGCCTGGAAGCTTTTTTTATTTTTTAATTTAAACATCATGTGACATACAGAAAGGCTGGGAATTATTTAAAATTATTTTTGAACCCAGCACTTCTGGCTCCTTTATATCCAACAGCTTTTCCTTTAGAATTTTACTATAAGCAATAAAAAGAAGCTAGGTGGAACCTTTGACATTTTGCCAGCAAATTTCTTTAGTTAGGGCATCCCTTCTTTAGATACATTTTCTACTTCCAATTTTATTGCAGGCATCAGTGTTGCTAAACTTTCTGCCGCTACGTAACAAGGATCCCTTTCTTCCAGGTTCTAATAAATTTTCCTTACTTTCCTTTAAACTCCCACTGACAGCTTCCCTTAAGCACCTTCAAACTTCTGCCTGCCAACAGGTCTCAACAGCATTACTATCACAGGTTTTAGGCTTTTCTTACAGCAGCAACCCATTTCTGGTACCAAAGTCTCTGTTAGCTTTCTAATGCTGCACAAGAAATCAACCCAAATCTTAGTGACATAAAACAACAAAAATAATTTACTATATGTTATGGACAAAATATCTGTAATCCCCACCTCAAATTCATATGATAGAGTGCTAACCTCAGTGTATTTGGAGACGGGGCCTCTATAGAAGTAATTAAGATTAAATGAGGTCATAAGAGGGGCCCTGATTCAATAGGATTAGTGTCCTTATAAGAAAAAATACCATAGCTTTCTCTTAATCTCTTTCTCCATGCACACACAAAGAAGAGATCATGTAAGCCCACAAAGAGAAGGTGGCTATCTGCAAAAAAAGTGTTCTAGGAAAACAGTATGGCACAGCCTCAAAATATTAAACATAGAATTAGCATTTGATTCAGCAATTCCACTTTGTAGTATACACACACAAAAAAACCTGAAACAGGGACTTGCACATATATTTTTACAGCCATGTTCATAGCAGCTAAAAGATAGAAGCAACCCATGTCCATTGGCAGATGAATGGATAAAGAAAATGGGATATATACATACAATGGAAGATTATTCAGCCTTAAAAAGGAAAAAATTGTAACACATGTATAACATGGATGAACCTTGAGGACCTTAACCTAAGTGAAATAAGCCAATCACAAAAGGGCAAACATTGTATAATTCCACTTATAAGAGATACCTAATGTATTCAAAATCATAGTGACAGAAAGCAGAATGGTGGTTGCCACTGGCTGGTAGTAGAGGTGAATGAAGAGTGATTGTTTAATGGAAACAAGGTTTCAGTTTGAAAAGATGAAAAAGTTCTGAAGATGGATGGTGACAATGGTTGTACAACAATGTGAATATACTTAATGCCACTGAATTGTACACTTGAAAGTAGTTAAAATGGTAAATTATATGTTATGTACATTTTACAACAATTTAAAAAATATGTTCTTTTAAAGTGTTCTATTTCTTAATAAGTCTACTAATTAAGATTTTTTTTTTAAACATGAGCTAATTTTGTTGTTACAAAAGGTTGGCCTAAGCAAAATTTGTGATAGGCAAAGTTTACCTGTCTTTTTCTTTGTTCTTGGACTTGTAGGTATGCTGGTATCGTCATACTAACCTCTGGTGAACCATCAGTTCCTCCCTTTAACATATCCCTCCAGTTATTCATAATTTTTGAAAAACCAATGTAAACTAATATGTAAAAAGTTTCCACAATGTTTTTGGTTTATTAAGTCAAATTAATACTTTTAGAATTTCAAATAGTAAAAATCTATAGATGCCTAAATCACTATTAGCAATTCTTCCCCGTACATGTGATGCTAGTTTTGTTTTTCCTTCTAAATAGATTTACCTGTTAACATTTATTGTATGCCTCATCTGTCCAGTCCCATATACTAGCAGCTTTCTCATGGAAAAGACAAGTCACGCAATTAGATTTCCAGGAGAGAAGACACCAACACCTGAGTACCTATTATATACTAAACATTTTCATTAATTATTTCCTCTAATCCTTAGAATATCATTGTGAACTATACTTTACTATTATCCATTTTTAAAGTACAATCAAAAATTAAGAATTGTTAAGTAACTTGCCCATGGTATTATTCTCTCCGTTTTCACATTTGTAGAAACTAAGTCTTAAAGATATTTAAAAGTTCATAAATCTTTTTATGAACTAAATTTGTAATGGAAAATAAAACCCACCTGGCTCCAAGGTCCAAACTCTTCATTTACACCACAGAATCCCTACAAAGTACAATCTTGTTCCTGTGCCACACACATCGGGGCAAATTTAGGTTACTGCTTTTATCTGAAATGCTTTGCTATATAAATTTATAAAACATGATCATCTGAAACATTTCTCACCCCTCATGGAGGATATAGGCCAATTAAATGTGGTCAGCCAAACTTGCAGAGTGAGATTTCATCAGTTCCATCCCATTCTAGGAATGGAATATATCCCCCAAAACAGTGATTCCCAAAATGTGGTCCCCAGGCCAGCAGAAAAAGCATCTCCTGGGAGCTTGTGAAAGCCCTACACCACATCTTCCAAATTAGAAATTCTGAGAATAGGTCTCAGAAATCTGTTTTAAGAAGCCCTTTTGGTAATTATAATGCATGCTAACATTTGAGAACCTCTTCTCTAAAAGATTGACACAGCCAAAGGAAGGAGCTCCCTGTAAATTTTCAGGGTAGTGAGGTTGAGCTGTTTTAGAATACAAGGTATTGTCTTCACTTTCCCAAGTACAGCAAACATATTATCCTTATCTCCCAATACTTAATTCTATTTAAGATAACTTCCAAAATGTAGTATCAAGATTTACTTCCAATAAAACTTATTAAACACAAAATAACTGCTTCAACCTTATATATTTGTGACTGTTAACTATAAATGTCTGTGTTAACCACACCGTCACCAATAGTGTTAATTCCTACAATTAGTGTACTTTGAGTCTTTACCCTCCATTAAATAACAGACCATAGGTTTGTTCCAGTATGCCTCTGGACACGTCTATTCAATTCATTAGAATTATTTAGCTTTCACTGGTTTTTCACTGAGTTACAATTTTAACTAAGTTTACCAAAGAAAATGGTAATGATTTATTAAATTACCTGTGTATATAACTTTTCTTTCCTGGCTTTCAACAGACCTTTTCCTGTGCTTGTGTACTTTTTCACGAAATCTTACTGTTATCACTGTATTTGGATTACCAGCATTGTAATTAGCTTCAGGAAAAGATTTGGTTTCCACAAGATTTCCAAACTTTTTGTTGACAAAATGGTGAACAGCTTTTCTGTGGTCTTTGTTTGTATCAGGTTTAAAGGTAAATTTGGAGTTTTCTTTCTTTGCATCCAAGTATTTAAAAAAGTCAGAAGCTTCTTCTTCAGATACCAAGTGACAGAGTTCTTTATATTCAAGATTTGGTTTTACAACAATTTCACTGTTTTTTCCTACAGTTATTAAAAAAGGAAATTTCTGTCGAACCGCACTATGCAAAATAGCCCTCTGGTTTTTATCAAGGATTCTGCCAAGTGAGAATTCAGGAGACGGCCCAGTTAGCTCACTTTTAGAATTCCATTTCTCTTTTATATCACAGGCAAACTGATCCAGTAGCTCATTAGTTTTTTCATCTAACAAAGAGCCTAATGCATAAGCCTTTTCTTCTTCACCTTTGGAAGTCCCATCATTGGTATCTTTCTTTTCTGAACCACAGTGATGATTTTGGTCATCATCAGAGCACTGGACCAAAGTACTGACTTGCTGCTGGTTGTTTCCCTCTTCAGAGGATAAATTCTGAAAACCTAGTTTTGTCTTCTTGGCAAAATTATTTGGCTCAGGCAGTACTTGACTAACCTTGTAAATAGGTTCATCGGTGGCCTTATTAACTAACTGTCCCTGTTCATCAATCTCAATAACAACAAAGTCACTTGGTGAGCTTTTCAGAGTGCCAAGAAATCCTACATGATCGGTAATGAAACACAAAGAACTAAACCTTTTTCTGAAATCTGTATCCCCTTCCATTCTTAAATGACAATGCCTACAAAAGAAACAAAAAGACAGTCAGTTAGCTACCAGAAAGAAAAGTTGTGGATAACCAAAAAATAAATGTTTGCAGGATTTATTTAGTTTTCTTTCTCCTTTTCAGTCCATGAGAGCAAGAACCCTGTCTGCCTTACTCACGGATCATCTCATACTTAGAACACTGTCAAGCATACAGCAGGCAAGCAAGCAACCGTGGCTGTTTAATAAATGAAACTAGTACAAAATAAGAGTGAAGAGGAAGAAACAGAGGTCACTTCTGCCTGTGATAAACCAGTAGAGACATAACATTCAAGAAGGGGCCATCTAACTCCTCAAAATTATCCAAGCAACAGAAATGAGGCCGAGTCCTATCACAAGAAATGCACAAACAAAATACGCACTGTGTTGGAGAAAACTACACAGCCCAGAGACAGAGCAGTAGAAAACTAGAAAATGTTTTCTAGTACAGTTCTGGAAAATACAGCTGGATTAGTGACAACCTATCTAAGACACTCGATGCCCTGTCAAGGACTTAGAATCCATTGAGTGGCCCGCGGCCGGCCACTGGAGGTGTTTGGACAGGAAACTGACAATCCAAAAAGATGTTTTAGGAAGACGACGGAGGGCACTGTGCGAGATAAATCTGAGGAGGAGGAACTAGAAAGCAATGCAATCAAGAGCACAGTTGCAGGCCTGGCCTTGAAAAAAATAACAATCCACTCTTTCCCCAGTGAAAAGGAAAGGGAAGAGTAGAAGGAAGCTAGAACTTGGGGAGAACGTTTCAATGAGGAATTTAATGATAAGCAATCATCTTAGTAAAACAGTGGCTCCCAGCCGGAGGAGGAGCTCGGCAGGCGCGTGCGGCGTCCCTCAGCCGCGGACCCGCCGACGGGGCGCGGGCGGAGGCGGGGTGGCAATTTCACACAGGGCGGGGGAGCTGCCAGTGCCGGCTGATCCTGGCAAGAGATCAGACATGGAGGAAGGCGGCGCCTTTCCCTCGTGCTCTTCACTAACTGCGAAAGCTCGGCGGGGCTCACTCCCACTTCCCACTCCTGTCACCCGGCCACCGAACAAAAATCTGCGGCCGCGTGGCCTCTGGCGCGTCCAAAAGGACCCCAGACACCGCCAGCATCTCCACTTGCTTCCCCTCCCCACAGCCGCCGGTCCCAAGGCGCGATTAGCCCACGTCGCCTCCTCTTGGGGGTGAAGGGTCGGGGCCCCCCAATGCCAGTCCCGTCATCGCCCCTACACAAGCCCGCGATCGCGCAGGAAGCCTTCCCCGTCTACCTCACGTCCCGGTGAAGGCATTACTCGGCCCTACGCCGCGCGCACGCCGGAAGACAAAATATTCAGCCTCCGACAGAGGCGTATTTAAAGGGGCAGGCTCCCATTTAAAGTGGCGCCTCACGCGAGACCTTGAATTTCTCACACTGTGGAGCCGCAGGAAGG